TGGAATGCTCAGAAAGAACGTACAGTAGGACCTAACTGTGCTTTTAACATTGTAGTAGTATTTCTTAGAACAGAATAGGGTTGAATTCACACACCATCAGGAGGGTAATAACTGAAACTCAACTGAGTGTATACAAATATATATATATATATATATATATATATATACATACACAGGTAAATGAGCACGGGAGTTTGTTTCCATGTATGTGCTTTATAGTGTGGAGTTATGCAAAAGAGATGTATCTATCTCTTATATGAGATACCCTATACCATGTATCCTGGAGACAGATTTTTCTAGATTTAAAACCAAGTTCTATCGATGTAAGCTAACTGACTTGCAAAAGAACAACCATCTGTGCCTCAGTTTCCCTAAGGATGAAATCAGGTTGTTGATGATACTTTCTTTAGTTGGGTTGGCAAAACTCTCAATACGTAACTACGTAAAATCATGTAGAATAACAATGGATACCCCTCAAAATTCTGTGATTGATGTTAGTTGTTATCACTGCATAAGACTTGACTCCTGGGCCTCCCTGGTAGCGTAGGGGATAAGTCTCTGCACTGTCACCTCTATGGCCTTACTTCGATCTCAGCCAGGGAGCTAACTCACATAGGGCACAGCAGACCTCTCATTTCTAGCCTGCTGCTACCCTTAGCGATGCAGTCCCGTAAATCTGCCTGTGCTGCTCCCCACTCTGTCTCCGGTGAATCCTTTCATGCCCCACACCTCTGGCCTACAGCCCAGTTCTCCTACGCAAAACTCACTAACTAAATAAATCTTAAAAAAAAAAAAAAGACTTCTACCTGAATGAAATTGATTTCTGTGGGATAGTATTCTTTTGACATAAAGATATGGCAAGTAACTGTGGAAAGCAACATACCTATATAGTCTACAGAGTAGTCTATGCATGAGTCTTAGTTTTAATTTGTTTAAATCTAGTTGAGAAGACATCTAATTTCCCATCAACATACTACAAGCAAGTGGCGGATTGCAAGGATAACTGCGTACTAGATAATGCCATTAATTTAATTAAGATAATAATGAAATCTACACCTATGTTTTTATCATAGCAAATCAAGTGATTCCAGCTAACAGATTACTAATTAGTTCATTAGAATTACTGAGTGCAGATTTGGTAACACTGCTGTAAATGTTTTCACAGCTTTTTTTCTTTTTGAGGTAACATTGGCTTCTAACACTGTATATGATTCAGAGGTGTGTGTCCCCATGTTCTAAAGTGCATCAGTATATCTACTGAAATGTAACTACCCAAGGCTCCTTCATCTTAGAGGCACCAACTTTATTTTTTATACTTAATTGCCTCTGTAATGCTTTTTTATTAGAAGATTCTAGCCTCTGGGGATGGTAAAAAATAAAAATAAAGGAAAACAAAGGTCCCTATCGCTCACTTACTGAGTTAGTCCTATGTAAAATATCCCTTTTCCTGAGCTTATCCTAATTAATTTCAGTTCCCTTGAATAAGTAATGCAACATTAATAATGTAAATGAATTATTCAGTATATAAAACATTTTAGAATACATTTTGCAGGAAAATTCTTCATAAGAAAGCCACAACAGATGTGAAGATATGAATTTTAGAAAAATTATTTTTCTTGAAAAATAGATACATGTATCTTATAAGGAAATGCATGACTATAAATCCAATATTATGTTAAAAATAAGGTTGAATATGGCACTGTGTCCTTTTCTAAAGAATGCAGATTTGTTAACTGTTACATAGTGTTTGATATTTCTATTATGAGCATAATGATTTCTAGTGGTGCAATTGTTAGTACTTTGTTACTCAGTGGAACTACATTTTTCAGAGATAATTTATGCTGGATAATGTGTTTTTATATTGGGTAAAATTTTATATTCTGTTAATAATTAAATATCAAGTTCCTATCTAGTAAGAATGGAAAAGCAACAAAATCAGGTGTTTTCTTATGATGTTGTATGGTTTCAGTACAAGGAGAATATTTAGTACTGAAAATATATGTAATATGATTATCAAAGAAGGTCATAAATACTGATGCCCATAGGGACTGCTTCCTTGGATCTTAATCTGAGAATGGAATGATAAGGGGATGGTGTCAGAAATAGAAGAAAATGAGCATTTCTGTACCACCTACCAATGCTAAGCCCTGTGCTAGCTGATTTTATTAATATCTAGTGTCAATTTCAATGCTAAACCTCTCCTGCGCAGATTTTAATCCCTAATTTTACAGATAAATAAGCAAGTCAGGAGAGTTTAGGAGTTGTCCATGGTAACAGAGATTTGGTCTTCCATCTTGGCATGTCTGCCTTTGAACCCAGGCTCTTGCCCAGCATTCTGAGAGTCCAGTGAAACTTGACTCCAGCGGTTGTCCTCGAGGCTACAGCAAACACAGAGAATAGCAAAGAAAGAGGAGAAGTGTGGCACATAGTTGTTCAGGCTTAGAAACATCTTTACAGAGCGATAGAGAGACTGCATGCCTATAAGTCTTCAAACTTAAACAGTGGGGAAAATCTCATTGGTGATGGTTGTGTATGAGATGTTCACAATACAAGGTACTTAAGGAAATGATTTTTCAACACCAACCCTTTAGCTTTTTCTTTAAAATTAAGGCAAAGTGGTGCATAGATGAAAACAGGTTTGTGATAAGAATGGCAATAATGTTTGAGCAGGAACATAATCAGTAGAAATGAACTTCACATCTACATACTATTAGCTGTCAATGCAAATAATTTCCTCTCTAATCCACCAGAGACCTTCCACCCCAGCCCTGTCTCCTAATGGTCTTATTCTCTTAATTTTCAATTATTATTGTGTCAGACTAAAGGCATTTTATAACTATTTTTTAGATTTTCTTGTTTTTCTCTCTCATCTACTTTTTAAAAGAATATATTTATGCATACAAGACCTGGGGTGTAGGCCAGAAGTGCAGGGGAGTAAGAGGATTCACCAGAGACAGAGTGGGGAGCAGAACAGGCAGACTGACTGAAATACACTGCTGAGGGGAGCAGCGGGCAAAACAGGAGAGTCTGCTGCACCATGTGGTTCACCTCCCTGGCCAGGGATCGAACTCTTGCCTAAGTGCCTGGCAATAGCTTGATAGCACTGAGACTTTAAACCCTGTGCCACTAGGGAGGCCGATCATCTACTTTCTGATGTCAGTGGTATAACTGTATGTGAGACTGTATGGATGGGTGTATGCCTCCATGAATTGTAGAGGGAGGAGAAAAGATAGGACAATTGAGGAGTCTGTTCTCACTCCATGAAATATTTCTGACCATGCTAATTTGTCAACAGTGTATGAGACTACTAGATAAGTTAGTTTAGAGCTACTGTTAATCTCATGTAAGTAATTTGGAAGTCAAAGTCTTATATAAACATTTAAAATTCCAAAAATTCTAAATATTCTCTTCAGGTATTTCCAAGACCATATCCCCTTTCTATATATATTTTTATGCCTCTTAGAGGCCAGTGAGCAAAATGAATTAGAAAGGGTGAATTAGCTGAATATTGGGCTTTTGCATTATAGTTTGAAGTGTTTGTTTTGAGTGTTCCTAAACATGAGATTTCAAAATTACCTAGCTGTTGATATTTTTATATATTTATTACATCTTCCTTCATTTTTGTAGTTGTTGATATTTACTGATATTTCATACAGTGTCAGGCAAGGTGCCAACCAATTAGACTTTATTCAGTCTTCCTAATGACCATATGATTTTTCGCTCCCAAAGGGTCGGATATTCTTAATCTATATAGAGAGTAGACCCAGAGGTACGGCTCTTGCAATAGCTGTCACTTTAGTATAGGGATCTAAAGAGGGCCTGTGAGCCTTGGGAAGTCTATTACTATTACTTAAAGCATGTAGATAGTTTGGAGTTGAGAGCAGTGAGCCCCTGAGGGGCTGAGCTAAAGATGTTATCCTTGCCTGAGTCCTTTGCCTTTACTTAACTGAAGAAGACATTATCACTTCCATAACTTATTCCCCTTTTCCCTAATTGAAGAAGCAATACCTGCTTCCCCTTTTTATAATGCAGAAGAATGCAGTTGTGGATGGAGGCATATCATCTAGATGTAGAGTCTTCAGTGAAAATTATCCTACTTCTCTGAGAAACTCTTCTTTTTTATTATCAGTGTGACATCTCCCCCCTTTTTCTTTCTTCTTAACCCCAGAAGTCTCTAAACACAATTTTAGGCTTGGTCCACCCCATTTTGCTTTAGAATTTACAACTGTATAAATTCTCCATATATTTATTATTAAATTTTGGTCTTTTCTCCTACTAATTTCCCTGATATTAATTTGTCCATCCATCTAGCATCAAAAATTCCCAAATGGATTTCCCCTGGTGCCTTGACACTACCTAAAAAAATAGGTACTCTTATTATCCCATGCATTTGCAAATTAGGAAACCAAAATTTTGGTATGGTTTAAAGATGTTCAAGGTCACATAGCTGGCTAGCAGTGTATCCAGGAATTAGACTCAGGAACTCTGACTTAAAGTTCCACAATTTAGACTAACTGTTACTGTCTCCTCATTAACAAGTGTTACAACTGGAGAAAATCCCTTACCCCTCTGGCAACTTCTTGGGCTGGTCAAGTAGCCAGAGGATCAGCAGATGGTCAACAGAGGGAAAATAGTTTTAATAACATGCTCACAGGAAGTTACAATGATTCTGAAGTAGCAATGATATTTGATCTGGGATGGACAAAGACTTTTAAATCCCATCTCACGGGATGAGGTGTCAGGGTACCGAGGAGAAAGGAAGGCGGCTTCACATGACTGGGGGTTGGGGGGTGACCTTCATATTTACTTGAAAGGAAAGATGTGTTACTCAACTGGAAGAGATGTGTTCACTGATAAACCTGCACCTGAATGATACCCCTCCTCAATCTACATTCCTATCGGCTGTTCTAGGTAATCCCTACTTCCATTAGGGGTGGAACAAAGGGATTAAGGGAAAGGCAAGAGTTTCTACTTAGCCTCTGGGGCCTTCATTGTTTTACCTCAAAATAGTGTGCGCACAGAGCAGGGTGTCTTGAGAAGACCAACTCTGAGAATCTTGGATGGTCTGCTTGAGCACCTCCACATTTACATCTCTTCCATCAGTCTGTCGTTCGTAAGATATCCATTGCTGCTTGTATTCTGAAAGATGTAGGGTGTGTTAATTGACCACTTAGTGTTTAAAACAGTTTGTCATAGTTATTAAACTCTCTTTCTTTGCTTGGTAAGCACTAGGTGCTTTTAAAATCTTTCAGAGGTCTTCATTGAAATGGTCTTTAAACTCTTTGGCAGCTTATGAATTGGCAGAAACACAAATATGTATACTAACAAATGATAAAAACAGCGAATTCTAAGATAAAACTAATGTAATTGTTCTATCACATGTAAGTAAGTGGATATCAAAATAAAAGCTCTTCTAAGAGAGCCTATTGAGGATGTTTATTTAACATATTCAACAAATTTACAAGAAAATTAGTTACCATAAATAGATCCTTTTGGGGAACTAGACAATGCTGTGACCAGTCGGGCTTTGCAATGTGAATATTAGATTGGAAATGAAATGGCTAGTTAGTTCCAGATTATTTCATGCAGGGAAGCAGGGAAGAGAGTCTAGTGCAGGGAAGAGAGTCTAGTCCAGTGCAGAGATGATGGTCAAAGAGAGAAGAAAGTAAGAAAGAGGATAAATTGCCTATGTCGCCATCATTTCCTAAGAACTATTACAACTTGCTGATGTGACCTTGACACTTATTTCAAAATAAAATCAGTATACATCCAGATTTATTGCAATAGTTGATTGATGATAGATACCTAGGGAGTCTTTTGTTCCTAAAACAGATTTTATAAGCTATGAGTTTCCTAAATGATGGGCTTATCTCCTATTTCTGGTTTATTGAGCCTTTACTTTCAAATTTTATATTTGATACACATTTTTTTCTCACAAGTTTTTCTTTTTGTATATATTTGTTTGGCTAATACACTACAAATTACTTAAACTTAATATTTTATGAAACACATTTCTGAGTATGTTAAAGTGATGTGGGAGGCAGCTGATGATCTTAGAATCTGTGGAAAACCTGATTGCAATCTGGGTTGTTTCTAGGGGGTATGTATAGAACATCTAAGTGTTGGCAATTTCCTACTGGTTAATCACTGAAGAAGTAACAATAAATTAAAATAAGCATAGAGGCAACCACTATCCTTTCCTGTTCCTTCTTGCTGAGCATATATGATTGGCCAAAGGAAATACTGTATACAGGAAATATTGTAGACACTCCAGTGGTGGTTCTAGGAGACCCAACATTGTATTTACTCTCTGTTACTCTTTCTATGAATTTTTGTTCTTCATCTATGGAGATGAGGGAGCTAATCTTCCTCTACTCTTCTAGAGCCATAGGACTGAGAGAGAATTAAATTGACATGAGAGATTGATAGGAAGACAAACTGTAATTATGCATGCATGGGGATCCACAAAATAGAAAACCATCGCCTGTTATTCCAGTGATATTATATAGTTTTTAGAAAGGGGTATCAAAATTTAGGAGAAAAGGGCAGAACAAAGAATAATTAGATATTTAAAGAAAGGAATTTTGCAACATTATCTGTATCTGCAGTGAAAACAGACCTTGCAAGCCCGAGTCTAGGGTGACAGTTCTGTTTCTCACCTCCAGGACCACCACAGAGATTTATTTTCTGATTTTACGGAGATAGATAATTTGGGCAAAACACCATTCTTGGATCCGTTGTTTTTTAATTACCTTCAATTCAGAATAATCAGCATGCCACTTTGGCAGACCCTGGAGCAGCCTGTCTTGATCCCAAAGCCTATAAATATGACATCAGTAATTCCCTAGCATTGCATATTTGCATGGTCTTATTTTCCAACCATTATTTTACATGTGTGCTAAGAAAGGGTAAAAGAGCATAGGCCTGATGTAAACACTGAAGGGATACCCTCGTTAATGTTCTAAGCCAGTTTTTGAAAATCAGCTTGAGCAAGAAGAATTCAGTACCACTGATGACATTTGAAGAAAATAGAAGAAAAATAATATTTAAATCATAAAATTATGCAGGTGTACTAAGGGAATAACAAAATTTGGTCAGGTCCTTTACCTAGAGAATAATTTATAAGAAAAACAATTATTTACAGAGGTAAAACAAAATCCAAGCTTGTCAGATCTAAGCATTTTTAATGTTAAATTTCACCGTTGGCCTTTTCTCTTGTCATAAGGAAAAAAAGATTGTTATTTGACATTAGAGAACAAACATCGCTGACATTTGTGTCTATCTAATAATGGTATAGAAATTTAATTAGGAGCTTGAAAGGTTTTTTTTTAATCTGTTAAGTGTAACAAATACATTTCTTTAATAATACTAATGACAAGAAATACATATGAAATGCCTAGTATATATGTATGTGTGTGCTTGTGCATGTGTGTTGGTATAAATTAAGTATAAGCATCTAATAAAGGAATGCATTTTAAGAATCATATGTTACAGCATTTTAATTTCAAGATGTTATTTTCTGATTGGGAAAAAAATTTAGTGTACTTCTCTGGGGATACATCTGTGTCTGGAATAATTTAGCTCGTATTTCAGGTTTAATTAGCAAATCAACAGCATATCTCCATTGTATAAAGTCAGCTGTGAGAAATTCAAATCCATAAGAAGTAAATATTTAACTAGAAATTAATTTAAAAGCAACTTTACAAAACTTTAATGTATTAAAAAATAGTAGTCTTGAGAATCCATGAAGTAGGAGGGAATACTTTATATGAAGCCCTTATTCATAGGCATTTAGGTTGATAGGTAAGTTTAACTTTTTTGAGTGTAGCATTTTTCCTACTTCTAAGAATCAACATTTTAAAATTGAATTCTGGACATTGGGGATTTAATAGCCTTTTGTCTTTTACTGATGTTGGGGGAGATTAGCTAGTGATACTTTGATAGTCATTAATTTTTTTTCTGGGAAAATAGGAAATATGATTACAGCGTTGCAAAAACGTCTGTCTTTCAACTTTTGAGTATGCTCAGAAAGGTCACTTTAACCTTTTCAACTTTAATTCCTGATTGGGGTAAAAGAAAAGATATAAATTGGAAAAGTCACGAAAGAGACAAAGAGATACTGAAAATAACCTAAATCAAATACAGTTTCTGCTAAGTGCACTCTTCAAGATTTCCAGCCACTGTGGAAAGCATTTCACACGTTCCTTTATTTTGCTCTACAAATTCGAAGTCCAGTTTGTTCAAGCTACAAATTCACGGCTAGTTTTAGTGGTACTGTGTGTAAGCATTTCTGCAGACATATACAGTATAAACCCCTGATCAATATGGCAAGAATATAATTTCTAGTAAAAATGTAGATAAGCAAACAAAATCAGAAATCTAAATACCTGAGAAAAATACTACATTTGATCACATTTGCTTTAGAATGCTCCATGGAAATTTGAAAATAAATCTTTCATGGTCAAATGATGATTTTTTAAAGTTTCTTTACTAAAATACATTAAACAGTAAAAATAAAAAAAGACATGTAAAATGTAAATCGTATGGTATTACTTCCTAGCTTTAAATATATGTAATTTTATGTACTCTCATACTGAATGATAAAAAAGGAGTTGGTTAAATTAAAGAAACCAATTATGACATATTGGCCACCAAAATATTATTTTGTTTAAGATTTTTTAAAATCCCTGGCTGACACATTTGAAATCTTATCAGGCCTGACTTATATAACTCAGCAAACATACTCAACATGACTTTCAAGGACAACTCTGAATGTTAATGTTTCCATTTTTGGCCTCATGGCAGTAAGAGTTTTATTAACCAGCATAAGCTCTGTAATGTCAAAGGCATGATAGGCAGTATAGACTCCACACACAAAATAAATGCATAGTCATTTCATTCTATATTGTTTCACTCGAGAACATCGTGTGGAAATGTACAGAGTAAATGTAATTGATTTTACAGTGCTCTGAAATGTTGACACTTGAAAAATAAATCGTAGGATTAAAAAAAAGCTCTTGCATTTGAGTTTGCAATGCAGACAATCCTAATACGTTCCCTTACCTCTGTAATAGGGTTTGCTAACTAACAACTAGCCTAGTAGGTCCCAAAGATCAGTGTTTCACAAGTAGGGATAGCAGGATTTCCAGAAAGTAACAGCCTATTTCCAAATCTGCTTCTCCAATCTTTTGTTATATAATAAAACGTTCTAAGAAGTAAAATAGTTGAATAGAAGTTTTGTACAACCATTCAGAGATTTCCCAGTAATAATTAGTGTATTGTGGTAAGGTTTGGCGAACTGGAGCTCCTAAGCCAGAAGGTCTCAGTTCAGAGCAGCCGCCTCTGTTTACCCTCTATTTATTCCTCTGTTTACCTCCTCTGTTTATCCCTGTTTATCTTTACAAAAAAATTGTACACTATTATTTTTAAAAGATTGGAAGTACTATTTTGTGATTATATGTGCTTGTTAGTGTAATTATAATTGCACTTAAAAATAAAGCTAATCCTTCCTATTAGATTGTAATCTATATGCAATCAAGAAAGGCCAAGCTCATCTGTGCATTTTGCCCTCATTCCACATATTGGCATCATTTATTCAAGAAAGTTTCTTAGTCTTTGGTTGCTTGGGTATGTAGTGAAGAGGACAGAGGTTATCTCTGCTCTAGTGGCTCTTGTATTTCAGTAAGTAGAGTGAAATAACAAATAACTAATCTGTTAACATAAAAAAATTGTCAAGCAGTTACAATGTTATGTTAAAACATTCTTAGGGCCTGGCTGGTGGCACAAGGGGTTAGGATGCAACCTATGAAGTTGTCCGCTGCCTCTGCAGCACAAGTTCAATCCCTGGCCGGCCAGGGAGCAACCCACATGGTGCAGCAGACTTCTCCTGGCTTGCCCTCTGCTCCCCTCAGCAGTGTACTTCAGTCAATCTGTCTGTTCTGTTCCCCACTCTGTCTGGTGAATCCTCTCACCCCCCGCACCTCTGGCCTGTACCCCAGCTCTTGTATGCATAAATAAATAAATCTTTAAAAAAATTCCTAGAAAAAAGAGAGTAACTCAGATGCATATTTAGATACCATATTAACAAAAAGCTTATCCGGGCCTGTGAAAGTTAAACTAAGTCCTGGATGATAAGGAGAGATTGTGGGGTTGGGGAGCAAAGGATGAGGTAACCCAATGGACTGTGGTGAATTGTACATGCTTTGATAGTGGATGAAATGTGATAACATACATCTGACAAGGCATGAATCCATATCTCTGAATCATATACAGTGTTGGTAAACCAACATTTCCTCAACAAAAATGATATAAAAAAAGATACAGAGAAAGACCAATTCATGTAGATCAAATACCTTAAGCCTTGTGTGGAGGATAAACAGGACCAGGGTAGTTGAAATATAGTGCGGACTTGAGATTGATATGTAATAAGATTGCTACATCATATTAGGATTTCAGGTAAAGAATTTGCATGAAAATCCGTTGGTTTTATACAGAGGGACAGCACAGCATCTAATTTATAGTTAAACAGAAGGAACCAGTAAAGGAGCTATAAAGCAGCACTTAGGTGAGAGTCTAATCAGAAACAGATATATGAAGCTCAAGAGAAGAAGCTGTCATTAACTAAGGAGTATTTCTCCTTCTGTCCTATTTTGCTCAGCATAATCCCTTCCAGTTCCATCCATGTTGCTGCAGATGGTATGAGCTCATTTTTTTTTTTTTTTTGATGACCGAGTAGTATTTCATCATGTATAGAAGTACCAAATCTTCCTGATGCACTCATCTGTATTTGGACATTTGGGCTGTTTCCATAGTTTGTCAGTTATAAATAGTGCTGACATAAAAATAGTAGGGTCCTCACAGGTGGTATAGAGGTTAGTTCTCAGCACTATCACCCCTATGGCCTGATTTTGATACCTGGCCAGGGAGCTAACCTGTATATAGTGCAGCAGACCTCTCCTGTCTCACCCGCTGCTCCCCTTAACAGAGTATTTCAGTAGGTCTGCTTGCTCTGCTCCCTACCCTGTCTCTGGTAAATTCTCTTACCCCTGCACCTGTGAACTGTACATCAGTTCTTCTATGCAATCAATCAGTCAATTAGTAAATAAGTAAAATAAAAACAGTAGTTCATGTTTCCCTTCAAATTAGTGTTTTTGTATTCCTAAAGTACCTAGGTACCTTAGGTACCTTTTGGATACCTAGGAGTGGAATTATTGGGTCATATGGTATATCTATTTTTAATATTTTGAGAAACCTTCATACTGTTTTCCTGGAATGTAGAGACCAAAGGGTCAGATAAAGCCAAACTAACAACAAACCCTAGAAAGCTAACTATAAAACTGAGGCTACCAGAGGTGGAGGGTTGAGAACAAAATGGGGAAGGAGCACAGAGGTCACTCGGGATAGATTTTGGAGGCTTTGGTGATGAGTGTGGTGTAGTAGCAGCTCCTAAAGCAGGGAGACTCTTATACCTCTAAAACAGAAATAATGGTGTAAACCAACGTTACTTCAACTAAAAAATGAATTAAGGAGTCTCATTAGGTTAATAACTGAAGTTCCTAGCAAGACAGTATCACACCATGAGGACTGAATTTGGAAACCTGGAGATTAATTTCAATCTTTACAAGAAATGTTTCAGTGGTATAGTGGGCAGAGAGAATAGTTGGGTAGGATATGGCAAGAATAACAGTAGACAGCCCTGAATATTTTTCACTGAAGAAGAACAACTAATAGGGATATAGCTGGAGGGGTTTTGGGGGTCAAGAGAGTTTGTTTTGTTTTGGTTGATAATAGAGAACTCTGTAGAGAAGGAGACATTGGAGATGCCAGAGTCAGCAGGAAACTTGTGGAGAGGAGTCTTTGCAAAGGTGTGTGCAGGGTTATGTTGAGTAGAACGTCCTCACATCCTTTCTCAGCAGATGCACTCTCTATACTTTCAGGATTAATGATGGGTAGAAATGTGTGGATTTTGCTGAGCAATACAGCACAAAATTTGCTTGGAAAGATTCTGGTAAAAATCACGTTAATCAGACATGGCAGAGAGGAATCCCATGTATTGGGTAAGAAATGCTTTTGACATACAGGTCAGGAAAATATTCTCTTAATTACTGTACTTTTTTTTTTTTCTTTCAGGTGCTTCAAGAAGACCTAGAACAGGAGCAAGTCAGGGTCAATTCTCTCACACACATGGTGGTTGTGGTCGACGAATCTAGTGGAGACCATGCAACTGCTGCTTTGGAAGAACAACTTAAGGTCAGATGCTTTTCTTTGATACACCAAATACGTCATTCAATAAAAATTAATTGCAATTTGAAAAAAAGTATAAATTTTTGGATGTAATTTGTATATTATAAATATTTAGAATGCAGTATATTTATTAAAACAAATTCAAATTATTTCCTGTTTGCACATAATTTCCTTTCATTAACAGTGCATTGTTTGCTCACACTAGATTCTTAGTCTTTGGGGAAACATATAAATGCAGATACATTATTTTATTATAGTTGAATCAAACCCATGGTCTAAAAGGAAAAAGGTAAAAAAAAAAAAAAAACAACAAAAAATATCACATTCAGTTAAACAATGAGGTATCAAAAGAAATTCAGGCCTTCCTTTGTAGTCTTGATGAGGCATAGTGCTGTGTTTAAGTCATGGAAGTTACATTGGAACAGATACTGAGCCTTTGAAGCCCTCGTTCAACCTGAGTTTTGGTAATTGTGTCCTTGGAAAGATAACCAATACATACAAACAAAGGATAGCATTTTTATCTTTCCTTTCTAATTGGGAAGAATAAGGTTTTACTGCTTAAAAAAAGTTTCCACAAAGCATGTATACATTTTCCAAAACATAAGAGAAAGCATATCAATTTATTATTCTGACTATGCCACATACATTCACATACGTATACAACTGCAAATTATATTTGAGACCATCTGCCTTTACTTTGTAATAGTTAGGGGCCAACAGTCTGACATGAAGAAGGATTCAATCATGTGAGTTTAAATAGCTTTATCAGTCCAAGGTTGTTCTAAATATAGTTTCTCTTACCTAACCTATAACACGATTTCTTAAAACCTTATCTCTGTTTTCTTCTATTTTTTGTGTGAATTACGTTTTTTTTTTTTTATCCCAGTAAAATGTCATTTCCTCGGGTTACTGCTTTAGACTGCCAATCTCCAACAATGTTATCTTACTCTCCTTCTTTAAATGACAAAGAGAAAGCTCTTTTACTGCTACAACAGAGTATTTAATATATGCAAAGTACCCAAATGTATGTATCATTGCTTATACTTCAGTGAAATTGCAGGGATTACAAATATAAGAAGGCTTTTGACATCCTGTATGATAATGCATCACTTCATATATGGTGAAATATATTGTACCCACACACTCAGGCCAGCCAAAGTACTGCACTGACAGGACACTGCTCACCCATTTTTAAGACACTCCACAGTTCTGATATAATAGTGTTGAAATTAAGTACAGAGAGGTACAAATCTAATATTCAGTGTTTCTGAGAAATTTTCCAAAAAAGATAAATGAAGCATAGCAGTGAGATGTTGGGACAGTGATTGGTAAAAGATAAATAAGTTAGGGCCTCCCGTTGGTGCAGCGGGTTGAACTCAGTGCTGTGAAGCTGTTCCCAACCTCAGCAGCGCTGGTTTGATTCCCTGCCAGCCAGGGAGATTCCCACATGGTGCGGCAGACCTCTCTTGTCTCGCCCACTGCTCCCCTCAGCAGTGAATTTCATCAGTCTGCCTGTTTTGTTCCCCGCTCTGTCTCTGGTGAATTCTTTCACCCTCCCACATGTCTAGCCTGTACCCCAGTGCTTGTATAAGTGAATAAATCTTAAAAAAATAGATAAAGTAGAAGTTTTCCAAGTCATAGAGATTTTCTAGTTAAAAATAACAACTGAAATACAGCCACTCTGGCATGATCAGACCTGGTACAACTAGCTTTAGATTAAAATTAGTCCCGGTGATTCCTGTGGGACTAGGGCACCTTAGAAAACTGGCGTGGACCTGAGAAGAACCCTTGAGGGCTTTGAGTGGAGCAAGGTCCAGTCACGGGCAGCTTATTCCCCGGGACCGGTTAGTGTGCGGTGCTGGTTCCACACCTTCGTTCTCTTCCTTGGCCTCCCAGGCTACTACAATTACAATGCCTTAGTCCATTTTTTCACTCCAGTCTGCTGAAGTATCAACCAGAGCCTCAGAAAAGATGCCCAATGGTCTTTAGTAAAGAGCTGCAGATGGGGGAAACTAGGAAAGGAAGTCCTCATGGAGTACAGTAAGAGAAAGATGGGGGGAGTGTTACCATCTTGACTTCAAACTCTAAAAATATTCCCCAAGGACCACAGACAATCTTTACATGTGTTGTATTAATTCTGTGAACTCTTCTTGCACATAAGCTTTTCTCTAACTTTAAAAGACATAGAAGTCTTCTTTCCTAAAGGTTTGAAGAAAAACAAAGTTGTGTCAGAACATATGTTTAGGGATTCTCGAAGATAGCGTAGATTATTGAAGGGGATAATATTCTGAAAAATGCAATCTGTCGTGAATTAATCTGAGTCTCTCTCAGAGGTTCAGCTTGTCCCTTAGCAGTGTCACCACAGGTTGGAAATCTGTCCTTACTTATCGAGGTTTCTAGGATGTCAGGATGTAGAGTCTAATTTGCAAGTAGTGATGCCAGTTAACTAATTTATTTTGAAATAACTTAGCTAAAAAGCAAATACCTTGTCAGTTTATGTAGTGTCTTTAGAGTGGGAAAGGATGTTGCCAATTCTTTCTCAGTGATCTTTCCACTCTTTACTTTTTCACTGTATACACATTATGTTCTTACTCTGTACCAGGGTACAAGTTGGGTAACTGGGGTAACACAGTGAACAAAAAAGAAAATTTGTCACTACCTTCTGGGGTTGAGCGTAATTTACAAGACTGCTGCCTTCCTGGAAACAAAGGTAGCCGTTTCTTAGGTTCCCTCTTTAGAGCTGAATGCTGATTCCTTGTCATTGTTGGTCACTATGGTAGGCATGGCAACTGCTTTCTTAATTCTTACAGTCTAGGAGAGGAAATAGATGTTAATCAAATATTTTCAAAAATGAGCAAATATGTACACAACTTATTTCTAAAAAGGAAAGGAATGAGATTTTATGACAGTAAATTAATCTGACTGAAACTGATGTGTGAAGGCATGGAATGATTCCTTGGGGAAGTGATGTTTAATCTATTATCTAAAGGCTGTGTTGGAAGTCTTGATAATGTATGTGCAGAAGATAGAATATCCAGGGAGGGAAGTGGTAGATCAAGTGAGTGTGACATTCTCAAGGAACCAAATAGAGGCCAATTTGGCTACACCATAGAGGTTCAGAAGAGTGTTGCTCGAGGAAGCTTGCCAGGTAGATGGGACTTACCTAAGAATTACAATGAGTGTGTGATGCTAAACTAAACTCCTCCGTTATTCATGTCATTAGCAAGCATGTATTGAGCAGCAGCTTTCTGCTAGGATGACGGCCGACACTGCACTGGTGAGGTGGGGTGAGCACATAGTCATGAGTCGGTCCTCCTGGACCTGCACTAATCAAATGCTGCTAAATGTAAAATGTTGGCCATGATGAGTTGACCATGACAAAATATGCATTGCTGGATGCCCCATCTTGTTGTAGAAGATTGGGAAAGTGGAAGGTAATTAGGCAACATTAGAGAGAAGGAGAACGTTCTACACAGAATGGTATCTGTTCATTCATTTGACAAATGATGTCTTGAGTGCCTGTTAGGTACCAGCTAGAGTCTCAGCTTTGAGGTTCAGTATTGACAAAACATAAATTATCCCTCTATGAAGCTTACATTCTAAGCATGCATCCTAGTAAATAAACAGCTTTCATACTAACAAAGCAGTGATAAGAACTAGTAGGACAAAATAGACTGGAGAAGAGAAGCAGTTTTACATGGAGTAATCAGGGGGAGTTTCATTGAAAAAATAACATTTGAGGAAAAAAAGTAAAGGTAAGGGAGGTCCTTGGGAATTGCACAGGTTCTAAGGGAGCCATTTTGCATTTGAAAACTACAGGAAAACTAAAATGGAGCATAAAGAAAGTCTCTTGTTCTTGGGACATAGCTATTTCTAGTAAAAAGATAACAAGGAACACAGTTATGCCCCTAGCTTGCTCTAGATGCTGTAATGAAAATACCTTCCAGAGAAAAGACAGAACTGTTGAAACCTCAGTTGTAGACTTGCTCTTATGTAGAAGTTGGCACTTGTAAGCCCATCTAGATGTGTTAAAGGTGTCTAAGGCCACAGGGCCCGGAGAGCTTCTGGCATTTAAAACACATTTACGAAGAGGATGGGGTTAGGAGGAGAGAGTAGAGGTGTCAATTTGATAGTATGAATGGCACTAGAACTTTGATGGTGGGTGTGGTGTGTTATTTATATGTATTAAGGTGGGAAGCTATACTCAGAAATTTAGTAGCATCTTATTTTATTATTTTTTAAAGATTTATTTATTTATGCAAGAACTGGGGTACAGGCCTGAGGCACGGGAGGGTGAGAGGATTCACCAGAGACAGAGCAGGGAGCAGAACAGGCAAACGGACTGAAAACACTCCAGAGGGAAGCAGTGGGTGAGACAGGAGAGGTCTGCTGCGCCATGTGGGTATCTCCCTGGCCGGGAATCTAACCCGTGCTACAGAGGCTGCGGATAGCTTCATAGCGTTGCACTCATATGGGTGTGCCACCATGGAGACCCACTTACATAGTATTTTTAAACCAATGTCATTTTATTAAAAGTAACATATTATTAAAAGTAGGCATTTGTATTGTTTTGGCAAATGACTTTAAAGTTACTAGCAACCATTTTGAAGAGTTAAAGGTATATCAAAAGAATGGATTCAGACAAGCATTGTCTTTTGAGGAATAACTTGGAAAAAACAGTTTTAGAGAAGATCATTAAATATACACCTATGCACACATGTATACTTCTTGATCTGATGACATTATTAAACTTGTTTGTTTAATAAAAGAATAGTATTTGAAGAATGAAAACGTCTCTCAGAGCTAAGATACATTCACTAGCAAGAAGACATAAACAACCCATTTCATTTCAAATAACATTGAGCAGTTCATAAAAGTATTATTATTGTTAAGACAAATTATTTGATGCATTTATTAAGTTGATGCAAAGCAGTGGAATGGAATGAGTATACATTATGTAGACTTTTCTAAAAGATTTTGCTAGAAGCCTCCCATAAGATACATAGATGGATGGATAGATTCGTAGACAGATAGATGGATCAATAGACAGTTTGATTGATTAGATAGCTAGACATACAGATAAGGTGAGCCATCCTATCTTTATATGGTTTGGTGCAGAATGTCTAGGTTTTAATATATTTTTTTTCTGGTATCTGATTTCTGTGCCAGAGAATTGGATTGAAAATTATCATATCCATTATTCTGCCTACTATGTCAGAAAATTTGGGGGGAAAGAAGCCATTTGAAGATTTAACTGTGGCACTGTGCAAATTTTGCCCCCACAGGGGTTGTCACTGGACCATCTCTTCTCTCACACGATTTTAGAAGATTTATACCAATATCCTGTGAAGTTAGAATGCCACATTTAAATGTCACATACTCATCTTTCATGTTTCAAATCAAATAGGCATATTTATTACTTGAATTTATGCTGCTTAAAAAAACCAGTTCTTTATGTTGGTTGAGTAAGTCTTTGATAAGAATGATCTGACTTCACATCCATCCATGTAAATATGTATGTAAATGTAAATGAATAGAAATGTATGCAGATGTGTGTACATATGCCTGTATCTATCCATGCACTTAAGTACACAATTTAGTTTTTTATGGGTGTATATGTGTGTGGGGCACATGTAATATTAAATTACATGTTAAAACCAGAGGATGAAGAATCTTAGTAAATATAATCCCGCAAGTGATCTCATGTCCAGGTTACAAGGACTAATCATTCTGTACTGTGTTAGTTTGAGTACATTTCATATTCTATTATTTTTTACTCTATTTTTCTAGGAAGGTGGCATCTGTAAAGAATATTTGTCGAACCAGAGGTTATTTAATTTTAAGAAAAACCTAAGCTGGAAGGGATAATGCTCAGCGAAATCAGTCAGCAGGAAAAAACTAAATACTGGATGGTGTCGCTTATATGTGGATTATAGCAAAACAAAAGAAAGGGTCAGATGAAGCCAAAAGAAAAAGCTAACCTTGAAAGCTGACTGTGTAATGGGGGCAGCCAGAAGGGAGGGAGGGAGGAGCAGAGGGATGAGAACAAAGAGAGGAAGGGGCACAGAGGTCTGTCGTGGACAGTGGGTACTTTGGCAGCGGGCACACAATGGCAGAAATGCCTGAAAGGGGGAAGCCCTGTACTTCTATTATGGAAACAACAATGTAAAGCACTATTAACTCAATAAAAATATTTTTTAAAAAGCCTAAGCAGAGATAAGGGACAAGTCAGCAGTATTGTCTTGTTGAAAAAGGAAGGCATTTTTTTTTTCTGTTATTTCAGAAAGCTGTGCTATCAAAAATAGCCAGAAATTGGTAAGTCTGGATGTTTTCTGCTCAGATATCTTTCCTGGGCCCAATTTCTTCAATTTTCTTTTGGCTGTATTCACCTGCAAGTCCACAGAACACCTCAGATTCAACAAGGTGAAATTCAGCTTATTATGTCCTACTTCTCTCTGAATTTTCTTCCTTTCTGACCTCCCCATTTTTGTTATTGAACCTCCATTCACCATGACACCTGCACCACAGACCTGATGTCATTCCAGACTCATCCGTTTCTGCCTCCCCAGTGAGCTCTGTGTGTGTAGTCAGGCACACACACCATTTCTCTTCTCCTTTTTGTCCACTTCCATCTCCTTCTCCCCCCGTTTTTGTTTACATTTTTATTTGTTATTATTTTTAAATTGTATTCTGTTGAGATAATGTTAGTCTAAATATGAATTATGAATTTAGTTAGTCTAGATATCCATATATGAATCAGAGATACAGGACCACACCCCTCAGATGTTTGTTACCATGTGACACCCACCACCAAGGCACACACAGTCCTCCAGCACAATCCATCAGGCCCCGTCCCTCCATTGTTCCACACCGCCTCTGGCAGCCTCAATTCTGTACTCAGATTTCTGGTTGTCTTTTTTTTTTTTTAATTTAGTTTGGTCTGATCCTTTATCTTGTTTCTCTGTATTCCATATATGAGTGAAATCGTTCAGTATTTTTCTTCCTCCTCCTCACTTGTATCATGGATTTCAGGTATATGGTATATGGTAATTTGACATGTGTAGATACCACATCATGATCCCACCAAATGTCTAGTTTCCCTCCACCACCATACAGTTGTCCCCTTTTATCTGATTTGCCCACACCCCTCACCTTCCTTGCTGCTGGCGATCACCATTTTCTTTTTATCATCTAAGCTTGTTTTTGTTGTGTTCATTCATTTTGTTCTTTCATCTTCTACATGAGTGAAATCACATGGTATTTGTCTTTCTCCATTTCACTTATCATCATACCCTCTAGTTCCAGCCATGTTGTTGCAAATGGCAATACTTCATCTTTTTTGATTAGCTGAGTTGAACTTGGTTGTTATAACAAGTCATTCTGGGCAGTACAAAGGAGAAGACAATGTGGACGCCACTGTTTATAATATATATATATATATATTATATATATATATATATATGGTTAGGCTATTCCTTACTGAGACATCTCTTTTGTGACAGCAAATAGCAAGTACCAGGTTATAGCCTCATTAAGTCAAAGTGTACGCTGACAGAATTCTCATCAGCTTTGCTTACTTTCCAATGATTGTGAAACTGCATTTTAAATTCATTAGTTCTTTTAGTAGATATTTCCTAGGCACACATTCTGAGTCAGGAACTGTTCTAAGGTCTGGGGACACTGAGGTAAACAAGAAAAAAACGTGTCCCAACCATAGTTAACATATGGGCCAGCACAGGAAGCAGATCTTCA